TTTTTTTTAATTAAATCATGTAAATTTGTTTACTAGTCAGGGCCACCTAACTCGTGAAAATGTACGTAAATAGGTGATAAACAAAACAGACATTGCAGCTGCCGTTGGAGCTGATTTGTCTGTAATGGAACGTGATGCCCTCCGAATGAGAGATGGCGGACCCTTTGTTTTCGCTCAGGTAAGAAAGTAAAAAAGTAAAAACCACTCTCAAATGGTTTTCAGTGATTAGGCTAAATCTCACGGGTAATTAATCTTCTTTCTATCATCACATAGTGTAGCCTCTACACTTTTAGGTTATAAGCTCGGTAGCTTATAGCTTTTAAGTGAATTTCGAGCTTATAGCTGATAACTTATGAATTGTGGCTTAAAAGCTAGCTTATATGATAAAATAGCTGAAATAAAAATTCCAGTTGGCTTATATTTGTAAAACTACCTAAGGAAGCTTGTGAGATAAGCTCGAGCTTTTTAAAAAACTCCGTCTTACTAAACCAAGCTTATTGAATACATGAACTCATGAAGTTTATAAGCTAATCAAATAAGTTATAAGCTAGCTTATATGTTTACCAAACACAACCTTAATCTTCTTTCTGTAATCACATAGTGTAGCCTTTACTTTTACATATGCAACTTAGAAGATCAAGCTAATCGGCCCCAAAAAATATGCGTTACGAACCATGTTGTCCTCTGATTGAAAAATCGGCTTGTTTTGGTATTCATTTCAATTCCTAATGAATAATTAGCATATGTAAATTCTTTTGTGTATAAATAAAATAGTTCACTTACGGTTATGCATACACAGGTGAAACATGGTGTTGGAGTGAAGCAAATTGTGGACCATGTTTTGGGGTCATGGGAAGCTGCAACAGGGAACAAGCGTCACTAATTTGATCTCTTTTAAGACATTTTTTGCGCGTACAACTCGATTTTATATTTTTCGTATGGAACTGCACAATGTCATTTTGGCTATAAATCGTTTGCATCGAATTCGGATTTTCGTATACTGTTGTCACATTGAGTTCTTGTTGAAGATCACTGGCTAGGCATGTGGGCCTGTGCGATCCTCTGTCGATGTTCATTGACAAGACGAGCTCAAACTTGCTCTAAGATTGTTAATTGTTAACTCAATGCTTGAACACTTGAAAAAGTATTTATGCATGTGTGTTAGATTGTGGATTTTATGGTCCTTATAGCGTAGACCAGTTCCGACTTTGTGGAAATTAGAGTTGGTATGCGAAATGAGCCAGTCGTGAGCTCAAATTGGCTCATTCGATACATAAACTTATAAAAGCCTAGTTCGAGCTCGTTTTAATCTCATTGAGGCTCGAGAGTAGAGGTTTTATGTAATTTTCATAATTTATATCTTAGCTCGTTTAGTTAATAATTGAGCTTGTCTCGTCTTGAGCCCAAGTCGGAGTATCAAATAATCATAACCCGCACAACACCTTCTGCAGATGATTTTTTCTCAGTTCTATAAAATAAAAGGAGAAACTAATTAAATTAATCATGAAATAGATAACAAAAACTTGAGGTACATAGGAAGACGATTCTATTTATTCTCAGCCGGTTTAAGTATATATGGTTCAACACTTCAACTGTTCACGTAACTCATGATAAACAGTCCCACATCGAGAAAGGATATAAAAGCAGGTTAATCTCTACGAAATAAGTAGGTGGGCCGACGCGGCACGTAAACTCATCTTTGCGCTTGGGGCAATGACGCAGCTAGTGAGGTTCTAACCGAGGCGCGTCTATTGCTGGTTGAAAACTATTTCCAAACCCCCTCTTGGGCCTGGGCTTGACCTTGGCCCTCGAGAATTTCTGGAAGGGCTCCCTTTTATTAGGGTAAAGCCCTACAATACCTAGTTCAATAATTTTTCTTTATTATTTATTTAATTCCTTCTGAATGAACGAAACTCATTAAAAATATTAGTAATTTTTAATTACATTTTAATCAAAATTGTAATAATCATATAAGTGAATGAAAATTCGGCTTTCGATTCAGAAAATTATGGGGGAAAAAATGACGATTTTGTATTTTCAGAAAATTAAGAGTAAAAAAATTGGGTTTTTAATCGCCGTCACTGAAAATTTTATTATTTTCTTAATTAACAACAACAAAATAGCAAAATAGCCATAATATTAATATTATTTTCTTAATTGACTTTTAAACAAAATAGCAATATTAATAATTATAAGTGAATGAAAATTTGGTTTTCGAAAAACTAGGAAAAAAATCATTAAAATAATGAAATTGAGTTTTCAATAAAATAAGGGAAAAAAATTGGTTCACCACAAGATGACGACATAGAATTTTTAGAAAATAAATGGAAGAAAAAAAAAATTGGGTTAGAGATCCACCGAAGTGGGTAGCCTTAACCGGATGTGTTATAACAGGTAAAGCCCGAAGGCCGTTCCCGTCCCTGTCGGGGGAGATGCCAACCATCTCTCCTTTCTACGAACACAATTGAAGCTGTTTGCTCACGCGAATATAAACTGTCCAATTTTCTGTCCAAAACCGATGTGGGTTTTTACTTACTAGTAATAATGGTGAATACTCAAATTGCAGATGATGATAACTTTGCTAAGACACACTTGCATAACTCAGTCTACAATACAAATCTGATAATCGAAGATCAACTCAAACACTGGCGATCGTTTTACAGTTCAATTATAGGGTCTCGACACATTCTACAAAGACAAAGTACAACAATAGTCGCAAGTCGGGAAACATCTAATCAGCAAAAGAAAAACCATTTTGGAGAATTGGTTCGAGAGTTAATATTACATTTAGTAAAAAATTTCCATTGACCAAAACCAGATTTTGTTTAAGCTCTCGATTACCTCGCAGCAGTCAAGGAGGCAGGCAAACTTTCTTCACATGAAGTAAACCACATTGGTGTCCCTAAATATCATCAAGCTTCCTTTCTCATGCATTACCTGCATAAAGTTTTTGATTTGCAATTAGCTTTTTTCTATTAAAAAAAAGGCCCATTTGATAAGCCAACATAATTAAAAGAATTGACATATTAAATGTAAAGTTACCTCCAGAAGAGACATAATCTCGGCAGCCGTATAAGGGACAGCAGACCCACTGTTAACCACACCCTCGATATCAGCTATCGGCATTTGATCCACGTGCTGTGTGTGCCTATACCTCCCCAATGCCGCACTGAAGGCGTCCAATCTTCATGTCATACAAAAGAAAAAGGAAAATCGAACAAGTGTTAGAAATAAATCTTGTTCGGCAAAACTGGAGAAGAAAATTGCTGAAGATGCTTCTTTTGTAGGAGGCACATACCTGTTTTGTGAAATGTTGACCTCACTTGATGGAGGTGCATCTACATCCATAGCTTCAGTGTCACTATATAGAGCACGCAAAAAGCAGAAAAAGTATCAATAAAATGATAAATATTAACTTACCATTAGTTGGAAAAGTGCCCAAGCAAATGATTAATGTAAACCATTCAAATGTACCATATAGACAACTGACCAAAAAAATTGCACCAGAACGAACACACTTTTCTCATAAATGACATTAATATGTAAGAATATGAAAGTGAATTTTTCAGTTTCTTACTTACCCAGTAGGAGCAGTAGCACTACTATCGTTGGTTTGAATTTTTGAACCTCTGGTGTGAGTTCCATCATCATTACCACCAGCTTCAGTGTCTGCTCTACGCTCTTCATCCATTTCCCTCCGCCATTCTTCCTCCCTCTCCTCCATCTCATTCAGCTCTTGGTGATATATGGCAAAGTTTAGAACTTGAAGAGCTGCTTCAACATCAGGCTTCAGTACCTGAACAAGAACCAACTGTAAGTCCAGAAAGCATTTCACTCACACGAAATCATACTGTGTAAATATTAACCTAGTTATCAATTAATTTAAGAATGCTCCTTTTCAATGTTCTTTGGTAGACAAACAAGGATGTACGTATAGTAGTATGGTGATCCTATTAAATCCTAAAATCAAAATAATAGAGTAATCGAAACACTGCCATGGGACATAGTAAGCTAAAATGAAGTGATGAAAATGGATACCTGTCTTCGCAGCTTCAGTTTGGCATGGGCAGTCGAGAGACGAATTATTGTCTCTAAAGTTCTTGCCGTGATCGGAAGTGTTCCTCCCGTCTGAAACATATCATGCAAGTAGTTTGTCTAATAAATAAGACTTATAACTTCAAATGTTTAGCTCGGCTTAGGTGAATAAATGACTAACCTTCACATTTGAACCTGCATTTCTTAGCTCCGCATATGCAGTTGCTATGTGTTCAGATGCCTAGAAAGATTATTTATGAAAGATAAAGTCAAAATGTGAAAGAGATAGGTATCAATGTGTAGGAACCTAAAGTATATGAAACACGAGGGCAAGAGTTATGAAAGATGGGAAATGACTAGAATGGATATAATAGATTGCTTTTCAAGCCTTCAAGGAGGCATCACCTCATCTGTGAGCTCAGGCTGAATCCTGTTCTTTGCATAATGAATGTACTTCTTAAGAAAATTGATAGTGAGAGTATCACGTTTACGGCCCTTATCAGATTTTCTCCCATGTAGCATACGGTTATACTTGACAAATACAGAAGACCCAGCCTCTGGATCTTCCTCACCATTTTGTCTTGCACCCTCATCTAATCTCGTACCTGGCATGATAATTATCGTGGTTATTAACAACATTCTTTGAGCCTTTATGAGGATACTGCAACCGAACCAGCCAATATAAGTTATATGGAAAAATAAACATTCACATTACCTCCATCAACTACCGAACGATATCGATGCATACGTAACACATGCTCTGAGATCTGACGATCAATCCCAGGATCCATTTGATCCAAGACAATGAACAGCAAATCAAAACGAGAAAGCAGAGAATCCGGAAGCCCAATATTCTTTGTCGGAGTTAACGAGCGATCATACTGTACAGTAAAAATATGGAATTTGGTTACATAAAATTGGCACCCGTATGTTAATTATATCATTCCATGAGCTTTGGATTGAAACTCACGGTTCCATATATTGGATTTGCAGCTGCCACAACACTGCACCGAGCATTCAAAGATGCATGAATACCGGCTTTGGCTATGGTCACAGTCTGCTGCTCCATCACCTCATGTATTGCAACACGATCCTGATCATTCATTTTGTCAAACTCATCAATACACACAACTCCTCTATCAGCAAGAACCATGGCACCGGCTTCCAGTCTTCTCTCACCTGGTTTTAAGGATATCCACACCCAGTAAGCCATCAAGACCAATGCTAAAACCATATAAAACCATATTCAAGACCAGGAAAACCAGGTATTTACCTGTTTCTTGATCAGAAGTAACCGCAGCAGTTAATCCAACACCAGAGGAACCACGACCAGTAGTTGATATGGCAAGAGGAGCAATGTTCATGATGGCTCTCAACAACTGGGACTTGGCAACAGAAGGATCCCCGACCATCATCATGTTTATATCACTACAAATTAGAGAAGAGCAAATAAGCTTGGACAAAAACTAAAACAAAATGCATGATCAAGAGAGCCACACTTATCAAATTATGAGTAAGGTAGGATAAGCAGTCCTTACCCCCTCAAGTGAGTCCCATTCTTCAAGTTCTTTTCGTTTCCTCCAAGCATCAGCAAAATGACTGCTTTCTTTATCCACAGATGCCCATATATAGATGGGGCAAGAGAGTTGGCAAGTAGGTTAAAAGCATCATCTCTTTCAGAAACCTTCCTAATATTTTTCATGTCGTCACTCGAATACTGTAAGTTGTGTGACATTTTGTTGAGGAGAGATACATTGTTGGCTATGAGGACCGTCCTACATTAGTCACAACAGATGTTTCAACATTAAAGCAATTACAAAGGTAGTTATTGTCTTGCTGTACAAGTACAGACCTGAATACTCCATTCACACTGCCTTTGCTCTTTCCAGGAAGGGCTTTATATATCCCAACTACTGCCACGCGGTCTCCGGGCTTGCATGAATCCACTAAATCATCTTCAACAATAACATCCACTGTTCTAGGAAGCTGTCCAGGAGCTGAGTTCTCTGGTACCTCTTGCATTGATAGTGTTTGGTGGTCTTTATAAGTGCAAAGTCCAAATTCTGTTACCAGCAAATTGCCATTGTCATCCTACAACAAGCCAATTGTTGTCAAATGTCACTGTTGGTGGAATGACTTAAAAATATGAGAAGGGCACAGTACGAAATTCATACTCGTGTTGGGTACACCGAACCAGTCGGCAAGCCGATGTTGGATGTAATGTCTCTGTACTCACGAACTGTGAATTTCTCAGTAACTGGGCAGAAGTGAACGCTCTTGACAACTTTTGGCCTAACAAGAGAACCTGCGTACGAATACGAATATTTTCCAATGACATCATTGACGTCCGTTACAGGCTTACAGCTATAGTACAATTAACAGAACTGGATAACTTTACTGCATACTTGAAAGAAAAAGAAACATCAAAAAAAAAAAAATCTTTTTGAATTTAAACTTCAAAGACCACAGTTGTGCTACTCTGAATAAGAAGACCCTTTTCAAAGACCATCCAGTTTAAAATTAACACCACAAAGCAACAGCAACGGGAGAAAAACATAAAGAAACCCAATGGATCGGCATAAAAAGGGAAATTACATTTTGTGATAATGCCCTCTACGCAGACCATGGAGCCGATAAACCCAGATAAAAGCTCTCTTGGGGTCACTCTTCGAGAAACAAATGGACCCTCAAGCCCAACCAAAATCTGCTCTCCTTCCTTTAAGTACTTAGCATTCATGCTTCGGACCATGTCAGTCACTGCATCACACAGAGGCTGCATATACTCGCTCGGAGACTGCAAAAGCCTGATATTCCAACAAAACCACAAACAGACAATACACACATATATTAATGTACAAAAATTCTGCCTTCAACAGAAATACACAATCTGCAATTGCCATTTTTACCTGCGAGCCAGATCAGTGCCTTCTCTGTGGTGGTAGAAATGAGAAAGGTTAACTATACATCGGCCGCGATTTTGGGTAAACATGTAGTCGAGCGATTTCTTGAGCTCAATGTTGTAATCCTGAAATTCAAGAACATACAATACTTCTTCGCCTCACCAAAGCACCGGGTGTGGAAACGAATACATGTACAGTGATTGTAATTTCGATGTTTGAGACTTACAGTTTGTTCGAAAAACTTGAGAAAAGTTCGCTTGTGCGCTGCCCGGACATCGTCGCTCAGATCCATTGCAAATTCCTCGTCGCAGCTTCAAATCGCAGCCTCTCCGCCTGCCGGCGAGCTTGAGTTTTCTCTGTGAGTAAGAGAGAGACACTTGTTTAGTGGATTTTGTTTGCTAATTAGGGGCGTAGGTTTTTAGGATTTGGCGGGAAATGGAACAGGGACAGCATTTTGGCGGGGAAGATAATGGTCTTCGGTTGGGTTGAGCCGAGAGATTGCAGGCCCAATTTACTGCTTCAAGTTTGAGCCCAGTAGCTGGAAACTTCACACTACAATAGTGGCCCAATCTCAATTGTGCATTACTCAGTCCACTGTCTTTTAATTCTAAGGTGTATGAGCTATACGTGGCCATTTTCCTGTTACAAATCGGAAGCGCCGGTTCCAAACCGCATTCTAGAGGGTTTAGACCCTACGGACCGGTTCAATGAACGGTGGATTCGGGCCGGTTCATGAGCCCAACTTCATTTATTCATAAACGAGAAAGTCATCAAAATTCATTAAAAAATAAATAAAAACTTATATTTTCCCACTGTTGATTATTTGGTGCTGGACATAAAGTGATTGTAGATTATGGATGTAAATGAATCGAGCTTGTTCCCTAATACTTGGGCTCGAACATTTATCAAACCAAGTCGACCTCGGCCCGTTAATTTAGTGAGCAAATAAATGAGTTCAAGATCGACTTGTCTATCAATATTAACGAGTCGGACTCGATCATTAACAAACCTGAGCTATGAAATAATAAATAAAAAATTATATTTTCAAGTCTTAGCTAGACTCGACCGTTGATTAAACGAGTTGACCTGAATCGAGCACATGATACTCAAGTTTTATTTATTCAAGTCAAACCGAGCAGAACTCATGAACGGCTCATTAGTTTGACAACTCTACTCTAAATCGCGTTTGAAGTACTCACATTATTATCCTCGTTTTTGTCCCTCGTGTTGCGTCTTTCAGTCTCTTGTGAGAGTTTTTATTGATTCTATTTGTAGATTGTGCTCGAGCTCGGTTGTGACGTGTGGCTGAACTCTTCTACATATTTACGATGTGTGTAATGAAGTTGGTTGAACCATTGAACTAGTTAATTCACGTATGTATTTTTTTAGTTATTTTTATAACTTTCGAGTTTTGGAAGAAAATGTCATGCTTGTAAAATACTAGTATAACATTGCATAAGGTTGTTTATGCATTTTTCATAGGTATAACCATGCTTATGATTAACATTTATGGATAAACATTAACCCCAATCACCATGTCAATGTCATTCACTAGTCCCTTCGGGTACATCCGATAAAATTGGAACGAGACAGAGAAAATTAGCATGGCACATGCGAATGAGTAACACGGATAAATCGAGAAATGGTCAAATGTCATTCACTAACCCATTCGAAATCAACACAATTTACACCATCCTTCCAAAGAAACGCGACTACAATCACATTCCGTTATATAATTTCTACACGCGCCGCTAAAGTCGCACTTTCATAGTCCCAATTTTGAACGGTAGTCGTCAATCCCTCCCTCGTCACAAGCGGCACCCACAGCAGAGGAAGAAGAAACAGAGCTTCGCGAGGAGAACCACCGCCTCCAGCACCGAAATAATCTTGAAAACAAATACGTCGACGACCCAATAACGCAGATTAATCCTCCCTTTCCACCGGAATCCGGCGGAGGTCCTCAGCTTCCACCGCCGCGCTCGGCCGCCGTCACCGCCTTTCGTGTTCAGCCTCTTGAAGAAGTATGCAAAGCTGGAAGCCCTTTTGTTCATCAAAATTACTTTTATATCCCTCGCCGGAGATAACGGAGCTTCGTTTTGAGGAATTTTTTTTTTTTTTTTTTTGTGTGAGGTTTTCTGTGTATGCTGAGGATAGTTTTCTACTTTTCTTTTTGAAGGGTTTTTTTTTTGTATATAAGGTGGGGGATTGGGTGGGGGTAGTTTGGGTAATAAAGTGTAAGAGTGTTTTTCTACGTTGCCGCGTTTTCGTGGTTACTGGTCAATTCAATGGGCGAGGATAATAATGGAAATGGAAAAGAAAAATCTAGCTCATACAAATATTGAAATGGTTTGACCGTTTGACAAAAATTCATGTAAAATGTAATGACAAAACTTTCAAACCTAATATTGTGTTAAAAGTGGGTAAAGTGTACCAACCGGGTTGACTCAAGTGGTAAGCAGCTTGATGTTGCTTAAGTAAGGTCTCGGGTTCGAGTCTTTGTGAATGCAGAAAACCCTTGTTGGGAGATTCACTCACCACTACCAGGTGTGCGACCTGGGTCGACCAACGGATTAGTCGGAGCAAAGCTCCGAATACCGTGGCTGGCTACTAAAAAAAAGTGAGTAAAGTATAAACTAATATCCAAACGAAAATATAATTTCAATTTAGTACTTTAATGATTAGATATATAGCAATTTTCATATTCGACCGTTAATTTGTAATTATAAATAACAAATGTCGTCATCGGGTCCCACAAACACGTTGTTAATGTCGTCATTCTCTTTTTTTTTTTTGTATATGTTTCTTTATTTTTTCGTTAATTGTAATGGCATCTTAGTTAATGTTGAGTATCAAAATTGCGAGCTTTTTACTACTTAAGATGCTGGTATTGAGATAGTTCAAGCAATGCTAATAATATTAAAATTACATCTTAGTTTGCGGGTATTAAATTCACAATTTACATGCCAATATTTTTGTTATCTTTTTGTTTTAAATGAATTTTGTTGAATTGATATGAAAAAATAAAGTGTAATTCATTTAAGTGTTATTTTGTTCAAAACATGTGAATTTATCGTTGTGTGTGCATCTTATTAATGTGTGTTTCAACACACACATTCGCACGAGTGTGTGTGTGAATGTATTCGATCGATCAAACAGTCAAAACTATCGTGGGTTAGTAATCACCGGAGTAGGATCGACTCTTGCACTCATTTATTGGCTAATCAATTGACTACTCCCTCTTATTTTTAATAAATGTCGTTTTAAGAAGTTGCACAGTAATTAAGAATTTTTTTTTTGTCAATAATAACCCTATTAATGAGGATATGGATGAATGTTTTGAGAAAAGATGAAAAGTGAGCATGAAAAAGGCGTAATGTATTTATTAGCTAGATGAGGGTAATAATGGAAAAATATGTACAAAATATCCAAAATGACATTTATTTAGTTAATAGTTGACAAAGCCAAAATGACATTTAAAAAAAATAAGAGGTAGTAATATATTTAAAATAAGCAAAATAGCTTGAAATATCGTGACTCTTTTTTTACCTCAAATTGCACATACATCACTGACCTTTCTCAAATGATACACAAATTTATGAAATTTTGCAATACGCGAGATGAGTACAAAATCAAAAGTAGTGATGGCTATTTTTTTGAAATTTGTGTGTCTCTTTTTTTTTTTTAAATAATAATAAAAGAACATAATATTATACGTAGAAGTAAGAGAGTCGTGATGTTTGTGCAAACTGAGAAAAGTCATGACGTAACGGGCTATTTTGCCTTGAAAATAACATGACAATAGTATTCATTCAGATGATTTATTATTATTATTATTATTATTATTATTATTATTATTATTATTATTATTATTTTGCCTTGTATGCTCGCCAACACCTAAAGATGTTAAACGAAACGAGCCGCTCGTGAGCTCGATTCGAGTTCTATCTCTTAGAACTCTATTCTCGACAAGGCCTCTTGTTAAAGGCTCCATAAGATAATTTTTTATATAAATTTCTATAATTCGACTTGTTTGAGCTCAAATTCGGCTCATTAATATTTGATAACTAGAGTTTCAGCACCATAAACTCGAGCTTGACTAGACTCGTTTACAACCCTACCGACCCCACCCCCCATTCCTCACACGCCAAGCTTCAATTAAGGAAATGTTCAAAGTTTATACAGCCTAGAGACCAGCCGCCAGCCTACGTCCAATTGTGAAATTTATTACGAGCATGCTCATCAACTGTCGCAATCTTGGATGAACCCTTTTTATTAGTTCACAATT